GGAAAGCTTTCTGTACACTCCAGCGCCTTGTCCTCTAGTAACATTGCTCGCTGAATATACTTGGAAGTAATCATAGCTCGTGATGCCAATGGTGAAGAGAAGCTGGGTTTCTTGCCATTTGCAACTTCCTGGCTCTGAAAATATAGCTTGAACTAATAAGAGCTCCAAGTATTTTAGTTTTCGATTTCGATGTGCCAGACCTATCGTTACGAGATGCAGAGATGAGGAGCAAGGGAGGCGTTAGATTAATGCCAATAATGGTGTTTATGGCCCGGACAACACGAGCGATTTTCACTTGTCAAGAGGAAGGTCAAGTTGGAGCAGGCAGATGACAGATTATTTGAGCATTTATAGCGGAGTGGGTGGTTTGCTAAAGAGAATCGTCTCAGTACCTCATGGTTACTAGTATCTGACAAATGCCTCTTATTGCTAGTCTGCATTAGAGCATAGCAGAATTGATCATGTCACAAGTAGTGTCAAGACTTGATGTCCTACGATTATACTCAGATCATGTTGTAACTTCACGGGGAAATTCGTCCTGCCACTGTACGCTCTCCCATAATTGCCTGCAGAAGTCACGCGCTTGTGCAAGGGACAATGCGTTTGCATTGCTTATGGGTGCAAGCGGATGGAGTGTAGACCTGATGAGAAAAAGTGATCCGGATATTCAACTAGCTTGAACCGCCATTATAAATTGGCCAGATGCCTGGATTATCTGAACATTGCTCCAAACCAATCTACAGAAACAGTACCCACACAGGAAGCCAAATGATAAACCCATTCATCAGCTATCGAACCTTTCATCAAAACATAATGCAGTGCATGCCTACCACTACTACTACTCAAACGAGATCAACGGATGCCACATTAACAGATACAACGTGGAGGCTCAGTATTTTCAAGAACCCAGTGCAGTCTAGACAACTAGAACAACGAGGCTTGCACCTAATGTCCCTCGATTTGCTTGCCGTATTTAGTTCCTTGCAATTCTCCCAGGGATATGTACCACAGTATGAGATATATGAGGGATTCCGGCAGCATGATAGATCAATCGGTGTGTTTGTGTGAGTGTGTGTTTATGGTAGTTTGAAGCAAGCCGTGTTCGAGAACCGGTCACTGAGTCTGCAGTGTCGTCGTCGCGTGTATGTTGCCGTGGTGCTCCCTACCCTCCTGTACTGCGCGGAGTCCTGGACAACGATGGCTCCGGACCTACGACACCTCAACCTTTTCAACCATCAATGTGTCAGATCTATCGTTGGAGTGTCACGACGGCAGCAATGGGAGACCCACGCAACGTCCTCAGCCCTTGCAAAGACCCTTGGAGTGCCTGAAGACATTGGTCACATCGTACGGGAACGGTGCTTGCACTGGTTTGGACATGTGGCACGGATGGAAGATAACCGGTTGCCGAAGTGTGTTCTCTTCGGTGAACTGCCTGCCCCGCGTGTGGTCCACGCAAGAGGTGGAGGAACGTCGTTATGGATGACTTTGCGTAGGTTGAACCACCGGTACCAACATGTGGATGGTACGATGCAGCCCAGAACCATCCGGAGTGGCGTGCCATTGCCCGTCGACCACCCAAGGCACCCTCTGCTGCTGGCTACGGTTGCGCCTGCGGCCGCATGTTCCGTCGAAGCGGCGACCTGAATCGCCATCAGTCATTCTGTCGTGGACTGGAGAAATAACAATGCGCTATCATTGCTACGCAACGGGCAAGGTGAAGGTCATGGTGTGTTTATGGTGGTACAGGACATGCTATGTACGCCTCTTTGGTCGCTCACACATGATCCATTGCCGGCATTGGTTACACTTTATTATCAATTTGTTATGACCTACGCTGGTCTGTACACCCACCCACTCTACTTTAAAAAGTTGAGACTCTCGTTTGCCATTTAATTTATACTTTACAATTATCCTTGTACGTGTCTATCTTCTTTACACCATGACTTTCTTTGAAGGTCTTGGAGCTATGAAATGTTATTTCCTGAAGATGGATGCGCTGCCTGCTGGAGACTCTCCTATCTCTCGTAACATCTTCTGAAGCCAGGTGAGACGACGAGTAGTGGAGATTAGCGAACGAAATAATGTCGTATGTTTTGACATTTTTGCTGAACATTTCTCAGGAGAGATGGCGAATACCAAGCATCTTCTCCTAGTCTAGAGAAACCATTTCGTAGGCTACATTCCGCCTAGGGAAATGGCTGGGGAGGACACGCTTGGAGGAGAACGAAGTAAGTGATCTTGTTTATGTTGTTCTTTGGTATTGCAATCTTATGATTGTTTGACGAACATACGGCATGGTGCATAGTTGGTCGTTGAGTGCCTGCATGTGCTTGTATAAGTGTGTGCTGATAAACACTTCCTATGCAAGAATCTGACACTCATGCTCTCTTTCTTTCTTGTAGTATGTGCGCGCGCGTGTGTGTGTGTGTGTGTGTGTGTGTGTGTGTGTGTGTGAATGTGTGTGTGTGTGTGTGTGTGTGAGTGTGTGTGTGTGTGTGAGAGAGAGGGAGAGAGTGTGTGCAGGAGCAGCGTGGAGCATGCCAGTGTGATCGCTGTGGCCGTTGCTTTCTTAGCTGTGGCGTTCTTGCCCGTCACAAGTGTGTGGCTCAGCCCCCAACGACAGTGGAGCCGTGTTGTGGTGAATACTGTGTGTCCCGCGACCGCTGCTTCCGTTCTGTCCAGGGCAGGAATAGACACCGCTGCTGAAGCTCTCCCCGGCCGTACGTCAGTCTCGTGGCAGATGACCCGAACTCTCATTTTGTGTGTGTGTGTGTGTGTGTGTGTGTGTGTGTGTGTGTGTGTGTGTGTGTGTGTGTGTGTGTGTGTGTGTGTGTGTGGTGTATGTATATGTATGTGTGTTGCTCCCTACGTAGCCGGACAAACTCTTGTTTTTGTGTCCCGGGCGCCATGGGGCGGCGTTCTCCCAATCTCTCTCCACTGCCCCTCCGGGCCCACGTGGCTGTGACTCGACGTGGCTGTGACTCGACAGGGCAGGGCAAGTGTGTGTATGGCGCATGGTGTGTGCTGGCATGTCTGTATAAATATGTTGGACAGGAATTTGTTCACCCACAACGGTGACGGAAAACCATGCTAGGTGTTGCTGGAAGTTATGGAGTCTGCGAGCAGTTCTTTTGACAATAACCTACGTCATGTCACAACAAAGAACGGTGCAGTTGTTGACCCTCATGTAAACATGATGGTGATGGTACCTCACCTAAGCTACCCATGAAGCTAGAAAGAACATCAGGTCAACAGAGTTGTACCAGAGGAAAGCATCTATTGCCCGAACTTCTTCAAATGAAATGAACAATACGAACTTAGAAGTTGCGACTTCGGCGGTAATAGTCATGAAGTTGATTGTTCCAACTAGGAACACACGCTTCTTGCCAAGTGTCAAGTTCGGCAAGAAGCGTGTGTTCCTAGTTGGAACAATCACACATTGTACGTGTAATCGAAATACATTGTACTTGTATGATCGAGCGTACAAGTGTGTGTCTGTGTGTGTGTGTGTGTGTGTGTGTGTGTGTGTGTGTGTGTGTGTGTGTGCATTTGCAGATTTGCGTGCTTCTCTTGCGACGGGCATATACATGGTGTGTGTGTGTGTGTGTGTGTGTGTGTGTGTGTGTGTGTGTGTGTGTGTGTGTGTGCATCCGTGAATGCCCCACGTGTGGGTAAATATACAGTCATGTACGTGTTCTATGCCATTCAATTTCACTATCTGTATGTTATGCAGCACAGTGGCAGGCATAGAGAGAGAGACATTTTAATAATGTGTCTGATGTGATGTGGTTTTCCCTTTTGCTTTTGTCTTGTAGTATTGTCTGAGATCATGATAGTCTAAGTAAGAGATATCTCAGAACCCATCCAGTTGTTGTCTAACAGTCTGCGAACGAGCGAGCCCGACTCAACATTCACTACTACATGTACTTGTATGATTGAGCGTACGAATGTGTGTGTGTGTGTGCGTGTGTGAATGTCCACGCATAGCCACGTGCGCGGCGCCTCATTATGTGTAGAACAGCGGCTGGTAGAGAGATAGAGGCAGACAGACAGACACAGAAAGACAGAAACAGAGGGATGCGCATAAAGAGCGACAGACGGAGACACAGACTTAGAGAGAAAGAGACAAACAGACAAAGACGAACAAACAGACAATTGGACCCAAGTAAAGACAGAGACAGAAACAGAGAGACGGACGGAAACACAGACAGAGGAGAAAACAGACGTCAGAACAGAAAGACAAAGACCGAGACAGAAACAGAGGGACGCACATAATGAATGACAAAAGAAGAGACAGACACAAAGACTCAGAGAGACAGAGCCAGAGACAGGGGTCCTTAGGGAGAGAAAAAACTGAGAAAGGGAGAGGCAGATCGAGAAGAAAGAGACAGAGAAAAAGAGACTGAGAGAGGGACAAAGAGAGACAGAAGAAGAGAAGCAACCGGAGAAACAGCGACATAGGTACAGGGCCAAGCAGACGGACCAAGACAGGGAGACAGTTGGAGAGCTACACAGACGAACACAGAGAAACACAGATAGGCAGACAGAAAGGCCAAGACGAAGATTCAGAGAAACACATAGACAGACAGACAAGAGAGAGAGAGACATAGATAGAGAGAGAGAGAGAGAAGAGAGAGAGAGAGAGAGAGAGAGAGAGAGAGAGAGAGAAGAAGAAGAAGAAGAAAAGAAGAAGAAAAAAAGTAGAATAAATAATAATAATAATAATAATAATAATAATAATAATAATAATAATAATAATAATAATAATAAG